TTCTTTTCCAGCTGACAAAACTGCAGCTTAACACAGACAGCTCAGGAAAAACGTGTTCCCAGAAACTCCAGCTCTTTCTGGATGCGTGTCCTCACCATCCAGTTACAGTGTGTTTCAACACCAGCTCCAGGCTGAGCCCTGCCATGGCTTTTAGCAGCATAATCCAAACCTGGGCAGGAGCCTCCATGTAGTCCAGCCTCCATCTCCTGGAAGTCTCTTCCACCTCTGGCCACTACAGGCAGGCTCCAGCTCAGCCACAGCCAGAGCCTGTGCCAGACCTGAGCTGTCATTAATTTCAGCCATTCAACTCAGACATTTCGTCCTCAAGCAGAGAGCCCTGAGCTACAGCCCCTCCCCAGCACCTGCTCTGGGACCAGCAGGCAACCTGATGTGCTCTCGGGGAGAGCATTAACAGCTTTCAGGGCCCAGGACAGCTGCTTCATATGAAAATATACAGGCATGGACAGTCTCTAAGTGGAGAAACACAAATAAACAAGACTTATTCCCACATTTTTAGTAGTGGTTGTTCACACCTTGTCTTACCCTCACCCTGGACGCCCATTTCAATCTCAACTGGTTACAGAGACACCCAGACACAGAGTAAAGTGCAGAGGCCAGCTAAGGGCTTTGCAAACAAAAATCACCATAGTTGTCCTCTAGAACTGGATGTTAGAAGATCAATGCAACACTCAGGGCAACAACTAACAGTCCTTGAGAGCAGAGGCATCTTCTCACCCTGGGAGAGTTAGAATTTATAAACTGAATGTGTCGAACCACTGACTGCCTAGAGAAGCAACAAAAGTGCCCCAGAGGCTGAGCTGGGGGCAGAGGGTTCATTCCAACAGAAGACTGAGCAGCATACCACTGAGGGTTTTGTTATGCTTTTAATTAACATTTGAAACACATAAGGCATATAGTAACATTAGACGGAGGAGCATTACACATTATAGTCATGTAAACAGCATTGGCACACTTGCTTTCTGTCCAACTTGGTTACACGCACAAAGCAGAATATATTTTTTTTAAACAAAGATTTTCCATGTGTCTGTAGGATGAGTATCGCTCATATCATGTATCTGCAAATCAACACGACTCAGACAGTACAGACCAGACCATATGTTGTAAGAGGCTCAGAGTCTAATGCATGTCACATCACGCTCATGTACTACTTGCCAGTCACACTTTGCCATCACCAGGGCTTAGCACATTAGAGTCTCCATTAAGCAACAAGAGTGGTTTTTACACCTATGATAGCAGCTATAAGTGGGCCAGGATCCTGCACCAATTAAAGCCTGAGGCCCACAATGCTTCTTACATCTCCCTGGTCAATCGATTCTAGTTTAATACAGGTGTCCAAAATGAAATGTACAGCTAAACTCCTTCCCCCATCTCAAAGTACTTGGCAGCAGTCATGCTCCTCTGTGCAAGCCGAGGCTGCTTCCACTCCCTTCCTCTTCTGCAGCTAGCGTCCAATACAAGTGAGCTTGAGAGAAACCAAAGAGTCAAAAACATGACAAAAGCTGCCTGGTGATAGCAAAGGAGTTGCATTTTGTCCAAGACCAGCAGTACCAGTCTGCGAAGGCGACTGCAGTCATGACACAGGAGTGGCACTTGCACAGGCACCCCTGCCATGGCAGCAGGCAGGGCTGGGGACCTTACGCTTTCCACTTGGACTCCTCACAGCATAACCTTTGGGTCGGACAATCAGTAAAATAAACGTCAAATTGCACTTCTGATAGCTGGAATGGCACACAGTTTAAGCACAGGAATCTCCCATTTCCTCAATAGCAGGACTTTGCCCTAAAGAGTTAAGCAACATCAAGTGGAATGATTTTTATCCTAGGGTTTTTGTGGGTTTTGTTTGGTTTTTTTGTGGTGGGTTTTGTTGGTTTTTTTTGCTTTGGTCCTTAGTATACAAACCTGCTGGTTAACTTTATTGAGTTAAGACACTTGAAGTTGTTTTACATAGGTTCTATACTTATTGGCCCATAAAATGTTTGTCCATAAAAAAAGGTAAAAAAACAAACCCAAAAAACAACCAACCACAACCACCTACAGCAGAGCATTGATCAGTGAGGCAGTGGCAAAAAGTTATCTTTAATCTCGGTCCTTCTGTAGAAAACAATGTTGCTACCAAGGGACGTAAAACAGTCAGTGCTAAACTCTTAACAGATGGTAGCTGCTTAGCACTCTTGCCTCGATAAGGGCTTCAGGACTTTGTAGGTAGAAGATGCATGAGCAGCTACCCAAAGAGAGTCAGGAGCTGGGACTGTTTCCAGAGAGCCAAGGCTGGGGCAGCAGATAAAGCCTCGCTTGAGGACTGGCCGGAGCCAAACAGCTGCCCTGGGGGAGACAGGAGATCTACAGTAGCTCTTCTGGACTGGGGAGCACAGAACCACTAGGACAGCCCTGGAAAGGCTGCAATACACGGAAAGGGAGCACCTTATTCACAGTAAGTCAGACTACATCACCAGTATTCACAAAACAGAGCTAGCAAGAGTCATAACAGGTTTTTGGCAATACTTTGAAAGGCCAGAATGGAAAAGGCTCCAGTGACTTCCTAGTCCTTACAGGCACGTAGAAGAAGGCACTGAGATACTGTTTTCTGTGGTGTACCACAAGGCAGCATGTCAGAGGTGTCCTGTGGGAAGCTGCAAGACTCCCACTTTCCTCCTTCGCGCTGCATTGGGAGGGACAGACTGCGAGAGCCTTGCTACGCTGCCTGATCCAAGGCCATCCAAGTAAGGCACTGAGCATGCACTTAGCTGAGAGTAAAGCAAGGAGAGGATGTTACTGTGAAACACAATTTGATAGTTTTCCCCTTTACAACTGCAGAACCTGAAGATGTGCAGCGCTGTGTGCTGTTTGAGCACGCTGCTCTTTCATCAAGGTGAAGTCCAGTTTCTCAGAGGAACAGGTCCAGAGTTCCCGTTTCAGCAATTTAGACAGTCCTTCTGTTGTCAGACCTGGTAAAGCAGCATTAGACATTTGGATTTAATCTAAATTAGCATCACAGAGCAGGCTGAAAGGAGAAGCAGTAGGATTTTGGATTCAGAAAGGTTAAAAGTTGTGCTTGTGAGTTTCATCAGACCATGTTTATGAAGTTCACATATCAAGTGTGAGAGATGGACTGACAAGGATCTGTGACAGGGCACCAGCTCCTCCTCTGAGGTCATAGGGAATGGGGTTGTTTTAATACTTAAAGTTAGCCAGAGCAAGTCCCCTAGAGGCTGTGCCTATGCATTTCTAAAGAACCAGGGACTGAGCCCAAGCACCTGAAGTACAAGCTGCACTGACAAGAGCCCTGCTGGAGGATACTGCTGGCCAAGAGAGAAGCCATACTCCTCACCTGCACAGGAACCCCCAGCCCTGCACAGGGCTTGGCTGCTCTCGATCACCAGAGGGAGGGCTTCACCTATGGGGCCCTTCGTCCAGCAGGTGCCTTCCCTCCTTGGGGTTTGGTTAAGCTGGACTCCTAATAGCAAGGTTTTGCTCCTGGAGCCTGCGCTCTTCCATGATGGGCAGCTCCTCTTGGGGCCCTCAGGTTTACCTTTTCAAATCCAAAACGAAGCCTAGAAGCCTGCAGCACTTAAAAACCATGACGAAGACTCAAAGCAAGCACAAGCAGCACCACAGTCATTCAGGACTGAAAACAGGGTCCAGCAGGAAGGGGGGGCACCACCCAGGACATGAAGTGCTCACAGAACTAGGCTTGGGTCTCTGCACAGCTACGTTTCCAAATGCACAGAAGAAAGAAAAGAGGAAGAGAAACTGAGTTCTGGTCTAGGAGGAGCACCCCAGGCAACTGCTAAACCCTTGGGGCTGAAAGAGACCCCAAGGGTCCCAACTTGCAGTTTCAAGGGAAGAAGAGTCAAGCCCTACTGCAGCACTGAACCACAAGGTGAGAGCTGGTTTGAGAGTATATCTAACAAGCTAGCTAGGAGAGAATGGAAAGCACAGTTTAAACTGCTCAAGATGCCCAGGCCAGGAGGCTTGACACAGAGCTGGGCAGTTTACCATCTACACTGGTAACTTGGTGATAACTTTACCGAGTGGTGTGCCACAAAGAGCCAGCTCAGGCTCCTGGAAAGCATGCTTACAGGACTGGTTCTTGCAAAATTACTTCCCAAACAGCAACACCTTCCCAGCACACAGGGCACAGCACAAAACAAGCATTAACAGGGGCTTATTTTGTTCCCATCTTGCTGAAGTCCAATTCAACACTGCAACCCTTGGAAATACAAACATGAGGGTGAAGTTTAGCCTTAACAATACCAACTTGGAGCCCAACATTAATAACCCACAGAGCCAACATCAATTGTTCCAGTCATTTGAGACACAGTTGAGTCCTTACGGTCTCTAAAAATCAGACACAGTGTAGATCTCCCTATACAGTTTGGAATCAGAAAATGGACAAGATCAAGCTACCTAACTGAAACTTTTCTTCTGTATTCAGATACAGACCAGACCAGCCTGTCAGGTTATTTGCCAACTGCATAGAGAAGTGACTGCAAATTAAGTGCAATATGCCATAGACTCCAAAACGCCAGGGTGGTTATTTACAAGGCAAAGACAACATGACCCGTTACTATCTGACTGGTGTTAGAGGCCTACGAAAGCAGAGAGGAAAGAGCATGGTTAGCGTAAACAGAAGAGTAGCCTATGGCAGAATTAAACTTGGCCAGCCATGCTTTTCTTCTGGCTGTTGAGGAAACATCCTAAGTTTGAAAAAAAGCCCATTCTCCGGCTGAACAAACTTCTCAAAGGTGACAGCGCAAATGCTTCAGCAGGGCTCGGTTTCTGTGGAGATACTTGGCAGTTACATCCTGACTTTACAGTGACAGGCTATGCAGTTGTTCATCACCAACTGCCTGGAAGCTTTAGCTGCACTGCCAGAGAAAAACAGGTTAGTTTGGAAATTCAGTAGAGAAACAAGTGATTAGAAAAATGTACAAAAAAAGGTGGCTTCAAAACAGAGAGCTAGGGCAGGAGGTGTATCTGGCAAAGGGTCAGTCACAACGAGAGCATGCAAACCTCATCTGAACTTTAACCACGATGTTCTTGTACTGGTGAAGATGGAAGCTACTGATCTGTCCATTTCCAGGTCCCAAAGAGATCAGGGAGTTAAACCATGAATTCACAATCTGCACACATCTCTTCTCCTTAGTTCTCTTCTTTTTTGGATTCTTCCTTGGGTGCTTCAGGGACCAGGATGACCTTTCCGACATTCTTCTTCTCTTGCATCTGCCTCATGGCATCTGCCACCTGGAAGCAACAGGAATCTCATGAGACCCACACCCAGCACGCAGTGCAGTCATGCCCTTCCTGGGCCCCTTGGTCCACCCAGACTAGTCCGAGGGCCAGCCAAGAGGCAGCTTTCCTGGCAGTCCAAGCAAGTACCAAGCATTTGGGTGCCTCTGCGCAGATGCATTTGGGACAGAGTTGGGTAGTCACCCCAGCCTGCCCATAGGAAACTGTCCTCAAGAATTTACACAGGTCAACTGTAGCAGACCATCCTTGTGTACGTTACACAAACCGTGGAAGAGTGAAGTGCATGTCACCACAGCTTCCTTTCCAAACAGGGGGGAGCACTGAAGAAACCCAGCCAACAGTCAGAAGGATAATGCTTCTACCATCTACACAACCACGGAACAATACATGCATAGATTTTTATTATTATTATTTTTTAAGCAAAACAGCACCCGGGCCAGGCCTGGAATCAAAAGAGTTTTCCTTAAGCATTTGCATCAAATTAGTTCTCAGGTACTAACACCAACTGATCACTACCAAGTCCTTTGCACCCCTGCAGTAAGACCTACCTCAGCAAAGGACTTCCAAGGGATAGAACCCAACTCTCCCTGGACACGTGGATGCAACAACGAGCATAGCAGAGCTGCTGAAAAAAATGCTGCTCCCTTCCAACATCCTCATTCTGCTTCGCTGCCTAGTCTCTTTTTCACTCGTGAAAGGACAGCAGCAACCTTCCCAGCTGTCTGCTTAATTACCGGGTGCAGATGCAGGGCAGTCTCCAGTCTGATGCATAACCCAGCCTCTTCATGGGCTACTGCTGCCCACAGAGTGCAGCTGAGCACCTGCCCTATTCCAGGGGGAGGCTGTCTGGCATTGCCCAGCTCTGTGCACTGGAGCAGAAGAGCCCAGCCACTTTATATCTTAAAAGGAAAAAGGCACCAAATATCTGAGAACAGACAGTTATTAAACATTTGCAACAGTTCAGTCCCCATGAACAAGGTGCTCACACTGAACCAGAACTCACTGTGCAAAAAACAATTGTCCAGTAATTCTGGGTGCTGCCAGTCTATGTTAGCTCAGACTCACCTGATCAAAGGGCCATACAGAGTCTATTTTGGGCTTGATTTTGCCTTGATTGTAAAGGTTAACCAACTTGGCTACAACACTTCCGACAAGCTCAAATTCTTCATCCATATATCCAAGGTGGTAGCCACACACAGCCTTGTTATGGTGTAGGAGCTGCAAGGCATTGATGCTGAACTGGTTCCACCAGGTTTTAGCCATAGCCATGAGGTTCCTTTTCTGCCCAGTGAGCAGGTTTGCTACGCCTAAAAAGAAGGTAAGCCACAGATGAGTGGGGATCAGCACAACACGAGAGACAGTGGGCATCCCAGGTAAAAGCTCAGGCAACACGCAGGCTGACAGCCATTCACACAGTGATGAACGACAGAGGTGAGAACTGGATCGCATCAGGATCTGCCCAACTGACCTTCGATGGAAACAGGCACCTGCCTCGGCCTCCAGATACACAGAATTTGGATTGTCGGCACCCATATATTGCAAAAATATAGAGCAACTCCTCTCTTAGGAGGGCAGCAGCAGTGCAGCTAGGCTGGAGTGCTGGCAGAGGCAAGAGAGGGTTACAAGTTACATCCAGCCAAGCTGGGAGGATGGCACTCCCCTTTTGCTACAGTCAGGCTTCTTCAGGGGAGCCACACACTGCAACGGCTGGGACAACAGAAGTAGCACACTGGTGCAAGTGTCTGGAATCCCACTGGGGGTTGTGTGCGGGCTTTGTCCACGGGACAAAAATCACAGTGTTTCAGGGCTGGGGAATGGAGAGATAAGTATTCAGTAGCCTCAAATCTCATCACCCACATATCCTCTAGAAGAAAAGCAAGGCTCTATTAGTGCTGTGCATTAAGTCAGCCTGGACAAAGCAGCTGTGAGAGCGTTCCTCCATGAGGACATTCCAGCTTCCCCTGCAGGCTCTTACTTGAAGAGAGATCTCGCCATGGGAGGAAAGAGTCTTGGAGCCTGTGACCAGAGCTCTTGGGACACGGCACGAATCGCTTCCCTCAGTGCCTCACCCAAGCAAAGCATCCTAAAGACCTTCGTGAAATAACAGAACTACAACACACACAGCAGTCAGCAACAGCGATGCTCCCTCATGGCTGTGCTTCCAGGCAAGGAGCAGCACGGAGCAATCCCTTGCAGATCCACACCCACCCTGCCATCACACAGTCCCTCCTACACAGAAGCTGGGGTTTGGGCATGCTGCTCACACTTACCATAAGTGATGAGTTTGCCCATTGGCTTCAACAGGTTAAAAGCTTTGGACGTATCGGATCCTCCCAGGGGGTCCAGGACAATGTCAACACCTAGATGGAATTGAAAGTAACTAGAAGTTTCTTTGCACTTGAAAGAAATGCAGGACAGTTGTAGAAGTCCTCCACCACACAGTACCTTTGGGAGAGATTTTCCGGACCTCCTCTGTGTAATCCATCGTTCTGTAGTCAATGGGGTGAGCGACTCCACTCTCCTTGAGTGAATCATGCTTGGAGGCAGACGCAGTGCCAAAAATGGTGACATTTTCTACAGTCTTACACAGCTGGATGGCAGCAGTTCCCACACCACCTGAAAAGCAACAGTGAAAAAGACTTAGAAGCAAACAGCTCCAGCAGTCAGAAAAGCCTCTGGATAGATAAATTATCCCTGCTTGTACCAACCACAGCACCAGGAGGGTACGTAATAAAGGCTTTGCTGGGGCAGGCTGACGCCTGTGACATGCTGGGGGAGACCGACCCCAGCTGCTAGGAAATGGGTTCAGCATTCGTCAGTGCCTGGGTCAGTGTGAAGCCTGCATCCCTGGCAGGCGACATTTTGTCAGTCTAGCCCCGTTCTGATCACTTCCTCACCCATGCCACCCATTCAGAAGCTGCATATTGAGGCCAAAAGTCTCAGCACAGGCTGGCAAGAACTATTTACCTGCAGCCATGTGGATAAGGACACTCTGGTTGGGTCTCAGGTTTCCAAAGTCAAACAGGATCATGTAGGCAGTGATGTAGTTGACAAGAAGGGCAGCTGCTTCCTCGAAGCTCATCCCCTCAGGCATCAGGAAAGTCTGACTGGCTGGCACATTCACCACTTCTTGCCAGAGCCCTGACCTAGCCAGGATCATTACTTTATCGCCAACCTAAAACCAAACAGAGGACAAAGTCTGAAACAAGCCCCAGACCAGCAGAACACATCACACCCTTGCCCTCCATAGGCCAGAGTCGGGTACACATGTGCAGTTCTCCGTGCAGAGGTCTGCACAGACAGCAGCACCCCTGGGCTTGGGCAGCAGCCCACAGCCTGTGCTCTGCTCATCGGACAAACCACAGCACAGCACCTCTCACCAGGGACCTGGGCACACGCCAGGAGCCTCAGAGGGACCGCAGGTGCCCCAGACTCTGGCTTGCACCCAGCATGCTGCCTGACTGCCAGCTGCCCAAACCAACAGACCCCCAACAAGGTAAGAGGGATGGGGGCTGTGTCCTGCCCTGCCTGCCCAAGCTGTCTGAACACCATGAAATATTACTGCTGCCCCTTGTAAGGACCATTCTGCCAAGAGGCAGGAGGCTTGGGGCAATGCTTAACAGGATCAACCCTGGAAAAAACACATCAATCTTAGGAAAACCTCCCAGGTCTAAGCCTCAGGCCTGATGTCTGAGGCATCCCCCAAAATCTGCTCGCATCCCACTGGGCAAGAAACATCTGCTTGCTGTGCAACGCGAAGGAGGCGGCGAAACACCAAGCAGTCGTATCAGCAAGCAGACAAGAGGCAGAGCCAAGGCAGCGAGCAGAAAGGCTCCTCAGTGTGTGGGTTTGGCATTTACACTTGAATAAACCAAGATGTTTTCTTGGAGGGGAAGGAATCATCTTTGACACACTGGGATTTTTTGAGACACTTTGTTTTGCTAGCTGTGCACCCAAGAATGATCTTAAAACACCGTAATTGCAACAGCCCCACTACCCAAAGGTCTGGGACACACAGATTCAATTCCTCTGTCCCCTGAAGCACTAGAAATG